GATTGCTTAGGAGTCTTTTATGCTCTTCAACTAATATAACAAAGTAAATAAACTTCAAAAAAAGGAGAATCACCTTTTCTAGATATCTGGGCTTACTTGTGAGCTCCTTGGCCCCACTCAGGCAAGGTAAGCAGACTATAATTCTAACTGCCAGGTTAGCAAGGCCCCTCACCTGCCAAATATACCAATCTGTTTAACCCCTCAAGGCTTGAATAATATGCTGATGTACAGGGACATGGGTATTGGGGGCTTCTTTTCAAGGACCAGCTTGATGCAGTCTGCTGTCAGCCCAGGAGGGTTTTCCTCTGAACCCCAAAGGGCCAGTACACATCATCGCAGTTAAGCTTCTAATAAAAGAAAATATAACAAAAGGTGGATGGTAAATTTGTGGATCTATGTACCTTTGCACGTTATTCAGAATTCAAACTTTTTTTTTTCAAGGAACTGTGATGTAGTTTAATACACAACTCTAATTCTTAAACATCTGTTGTTTAAATTTAATTTCCTACACTTTAGTCACTGTTTTTCTTCCCTAGAATCCAACAGCCATCATGTCTAGCAAAAGGGCAAAGACAAAGACCACTAAGAAGCGCCCTCAGCGCGCAACCTCCAATGTGTTTGCAATGTTCGATCAGTCACAGATTCAAGAATTCAAAGAGGCCTTCAACATGATTGATCAGAATAGAGATGGCTTCATTGACAAAGAAGACCTGCATGATATGCTCGCTTCCCTTGGTAATGTTTATTTCTCCAGCTGTCTATTTATCTGATACTTGTGGCCCCCATCATTATATTAATTGAGCATTATAAAATGGCTATGTGCTTGTTGCAATCATCACAATAACATAGCTGTTAACTTTTTATACATTTTTGAGCTGCTTTATGAAAGGTGTTAGTCTGTTTAAAATTGACAAATATAATTGGGTGGATGAATAAACACATTATAATGACTATCGAAAATATGAATACTTTAATTGTAGGAAAGAATCCAACTGATGAATACCTAGATGCTATGATGAATGAAGCTCCAGGCCCCATAAACTTCACTATGTTCCTTACAATGTTTGGAGAAAAACTAAATGGCACAGATCCAGAAGATGTAATCAGAAATGCTTTTGCTTGCTTTGACGAAGAAGCAACAGGTAAGTAGGTGAAATATCAATGCTGGGTTATCTGCTTTTGAATCTTCATTAAAAGGATTTCTTTTATTCAACTATGACTGTAAATATATAATTTAAGTAGATCATTTGAGGTTATGTGCTTCTAAAAACTTGTCTACATGGTGCCTTAGTGCAGGTCTTCAGGGATGTAAATCCCAATGCACATCCCTTTGTTGTGCATTAACTGTCTCGTGAACTCTGCTGGTGTGCAGTAAAGCTCCATTTGTGCACATTTAATGTAGTGCTGCTGGACTACATTGACGTGCACTAGGGAACTTTTAGTGCACATCAGCAGATCCATATGAGCCAGTTTGTGCATCAGTGCATTGTGCACTCTAGAATTTACACCCTTGCTGGTGTAGACAAGCTGTGAATATACCCAGTATACAGTTTACTGATAATCATTACTTTTTTTTTTTATTTTGCAAACTTAAAAAACATTGAATGTAATTTTATCATCTCTGCATCAGAAATGGTGAAATATTGGGCTTAAAGACTGTTAAACCTATACAGTTGCTTAAAATCCATCTATCAGAACCCAAAATATTGAAAGAGCCATTTAAAAACAAATATGTGGTGATTGGGAGCTGTCTTAAATTTCCTATAATTTTAAAAGCTTAGAACAGTCATTTTTAATTGGTTAATGGAATACCTGTTGCCCACAAAAGACTTGCTGGTGGTCTATAGAGTTGACTTCCAACACTTGCTGGCACCTCATTTCCTCCTGTTAAACTGTATTTAAAAGAAAACTAAAATGTATAAAATATCTAATTTTTTTATGTAAGAGAAAGTTGCCATAGCAATGTTTGATCACCAATAGGAGTGGGAGAGATAGCTCACATATATGTTATGAGAGGCTGCCCAAACACAAGCTCTATGATGCTGTATTCCATGCTGTGTCAGTTTGGGAACCTCTGGCTTAGAATTTGGCATTAAATTGATACTAACATACAAATATATCTGAAATATTCAGATTTCTTCACATTGTTGGCCTTGACATTTAAATTAGGCTAGATTCAGCTCCCATTCAATATGAGCTGGATTGTATGCTCAGCAGTTTTAAGTAGAAAATGTTTAAGACAAGTGAATACAATCAGTTAAAACAAACTTCCATGTAGAAATGTTTTTTCTTAAGACTGTCTTAAATCTGTTTGTTTCAACCAAAATATAAACTTGCGTCTTTCCAGACTGTTTTGATGCAACTTGAGGTCACTTCTTGCCATTGAAGTTCTGGGAGTATTATGTGTGGAAAAAGCTGAGAGGTTGTCACGCAGAATGTACCAAATCAGGCCATTCATCCAAGTCTTATGGTGGCCATTACCTTAAGTGTCAGAGGGAGTTGGAAGGTGTAGAGGCTGTCATAATCCTGTTGTAGCGCTCCAGCTTGACTCTGAAGCATGAGACTTGGATATAATCTTAGCTTGCATAATTAAACACATTATTTTTTGCAATTAAAATAATCCAGCCCTGTTATTAAATGCAGCTACCGTATTTAACTTTGGCCTCCTACAGTCTTAAATTGACAGCTTTGTGTCTTCCTTCTCCCTGGAGTTAATGCTTAAATGGGCTTGTAAATATTTATTCTGTCTCTCTTAAGCAATACATGTGTGGTGCTTATTTATATAATGTGATTGCTTAACTCCAAACTAGAAATTCTTTCTATTTGAAGATTGAGTAAGAAAACTTTTTTTGGTTTATCCTGATGCACTGTACACATTATATTCCAGGGTTCATTCAAGAAGATTATTTGAGAGAGCTGCTGACGACAATGGGAGACAGATTTACAGATGAAGAAGTAGATGAGCTGTACAGAGAGGCACCAATTGACAAAAAGGGAAATTTCAATTACATTGAATTCACACGCATCCTTAAACACGGAGCAAAAGACAAGGATGATTGAACAAAATTTCAGACACCTGCAGCTAGCTCTAGTTTTCACTTGCGTTTATTTTTGAGGGTTTTTTCCTGGTAGAACCTGTTGCATGCATCTAGCTTTTACAGCTTTTGCCTTTCTCAGTATATTTATCTATTCCAGGCCATTCTGGCACATTTGCACCTGTGTAATCAAGCTGGATGTGGGGGATGATATTGTGGTGAGAAGAATCTGGGGACAAAGATCAATGAATTTGAAGGCCCAGGAAAAAAGTCTCAATGTTTCTGGTTTAGCTGGATTTTTACATTTTTTGTAATAAAAATGTCCTTTTGAAATAAAGATTGCTATATAAATAAAATACCTCAAACTGTTTTGTGAAGTGATATTGTCTTGTTACTAAATGTCTTCATTTTTAAAAGCATATGTACCTATTCTTGATATCTGGGTAATACTGTAACATCTTGAGTAAGTTTACGGTTTATAAAATGTTTGCCTCAAGTACTGTTTCTTTATACTTAAGTGAGGCAGTGATACTCAATTTTATAATAGTGTGAAAAGTACTGGTACCTAAATGTTAACACTCTCAAAGACAAGCCATTAGTTGTAGGGAAGTCTGGCTAGTGTTTAATGTAGGCATAAACAGAATGGGTGGGGAAGACTTTCAGTTGGACAGCATCCAATTCTTTCTTCCCTGAATTGTGCTACTGAGGTAAACAGCTTTCATGATTTTTTTGTGAGCATGCTGCTTAGCCCTTATTTATTTTCCTTTACTTGAAGAGTGAGAGCATTTGGAAAATTGTAACTTGGAGAACAGGAATACAGATGATAAAGACAAGCATGATGCTGATGATTCAAGTAGGAGGGGACACGTTTATATTTCCATTGTGCCTACTTCTGCCTCCCTCCCCCACCACTAACTTGTTCTAGACTGAGGTGTCTACACTACCACTACTGAATGACTGCATTTTAAAAATGATATATTGTTGCTATACAGGCCCCATGTGCAGGTGCAGCATGATGAGAACTCTTTCTTCAGCTACACATTCTTAAACAATCATGTGCTGAGGTTAAGGGTCTTCCTCGTTTGATGAATTTTTCAATTAAGTACATGCATTGCTGTCATGTTCTAAAAAGTAGGTTGCAAATAATTAATTATCTATTTCATTCCTTGCACGTGCACAGCCCCTCCACCTCCTTGCAGTTCTTGCAGGTCATCTTTCCTTAGCCATCAGTTGGAATTGATTACAATCTGCTGTCAGTCCCCTACATTGACCTGGTCCCAGAACTGTTTGTAGAACCCCATTGCACTCCCCTTGTATGAGGGTTAGGTGAGGAGGGGGTTGTCCCCTTGATGTTGGACATTAGGAACCCCAACACCCTTCCTCAGTTCCTGTAGGAGATGTCTTCATTCTCCTAATCCAATTCAGATTTATCTGGGAACCAGACTCCCTATTGAATGATTACATGCAGTGGTCACCTGCCAAGTTGCAATAAAATATTTTTACAACCTAATCTATCCACTGACTCATGGGGCAGCTCAAGGGAAAAAGCCCACCTACCCAGCCCAACCTGGCAGAGAGGGAAAAATTCCTTCCCATTCCCCAAAAAGGGACATGCATGATGCTCACAGCAAGGCCCAAAAAATCCGCTTCTACTCTTAATTCCCAGAAGCAAGGAGATTTTTCTTTCCAGTGCAGACTAGTGTCTCTTCTCTTTCCCACTCCACTCCTTGTATGCATAGGAGCCAGTATGGCTTCTGCACCTTTCTGCCTACCTCCTCAAGCCTGTGACGGGTGAAATCCTTAAAGCGTCAATAGGTTTTCTTTCCACTGCTGGCCCCCTAAGTCTGAGGCAGGGTGGGGCACTTGTGGAGGGTTGAAGTATAGTACTGCCCTCTTACTACTTGTAGGAGCTCTGGACAGAAGTACTTACTTCCACTAAAGCCTTATTCTTGCTAAGGGTTCTTAAGTGGGGAAGGGGGACTGCTTTAAGATGAGTATGGCACTGTGAAATAATGTATGTCCACAGCTGCTGTTTCATATAATGTAGAGATTCCTTTCTCTAATATTGCTGGTGTTTCTAGCATGGTAATTCCTGGAGATGATCTGTTTCTTCTTTGTAAAATATGTAGTTTAAAATAACATTCAATAGTTTTGCCTCAAATTTTTCTTGGGTGGTCTTTCCCCCCCTCTATGCTTTAATTAAAAGCAGTTATTTCTACATTTCCTAGTGTGTTTTTATCCAAGTTGTAACTGACAGTTTGCCCGTAGTCATTGCTTTTCTTGATCATTTTGGGTTTGGTTTGTTTTTTCCTACCTACCTGGATAGTCTTTCTTCTTTAACAACAATGTTGCCATTACAGACCACCCAGCCAGCTCTTCCTCCCCAGTAGCTGTTTTCCAATTGTCACAGCGCTCTTCAGCGTGGTTGCTATGGCACACCCTGTGGGAATATCAGTAAGACCTCAGTAGCAGCACATTTTTGAAAAGCCATTTGCCAAATATGCAATAAATTCTTTCCTACAACACCCTGACAGGGATGTTGCAGTTAGGAAAAGCAATCACTCAGACCTTTAAGAAACAACAGCAGCAAACACATTTAAAAATCATTTTGTAACATTAAAACTAAAGAATAATAATAAAAAAAACCTTGGCTAGGGCATCATCCTTTCACATTTAAACAACTCTCGATGCGTAAATAAATTTATAGTGCAAATAACTTCACAAAATGTAGACTTCATTATGCTTTCTGTTGTTTGTGGATGTGGAGGCTTACCCTAAGTGAGTTGAGAGCCAGATCTGTTTTCTTCTACATGACTTTTCTCTGCCACATATAATAATGGGTGTCTTTCTTAACAGCGGGTCTCAAAACTTGTCATATGATGGACCTCCCACCATCCAAATCCCTCACACCTTATGTTTGAATTAATAATATTAGAAATTAATAATATGGGAGACCACCACATACTAATTTAACCATGAATTCCTTGAAGTCCAAAGGCTAAATAGTATTTTATACAATTAAGCTAAAAATGCTCACAGCATAAAAACAAGCAGTCACTATACCCAATACAGTAACAAAATATTCATAAGCATGTCATCAGTATACTTACAAATTGGACAGACCTAGGGGAAACCACCTCATTTTGGTGTGCTCCAGCATGGGCCAGATACCATCAGCAACATCTACCTCTTGGAGAGGACCCGTCAACTTCCAGCAGAGGAAGAAATTAGAAGGAGAAGGTGGGGTTGGATAGGACACACACTACGCAAGCAGCCAACCAACATCACTAGACAGGCATTGCGGTGGAACCCCCAAGGCAAGCGGAAAAGAGGCCGTCCAAGAAACACCTGGCGACGCGACCTTCAGGCTGATAGCATAAAAATGGGCTATACCTGGAACCAGCTAGAGCAAATGGCCCAGGATAAAGGACTCTGGAGATCTGTGGTTAGCAGCCCATACCCCGATTGGGGTGATGGGCGTGAGTGAGAGTGAGTGTGCCAGCATGATCAGGTCAGGTCTCACAAAGAACATTCAGAGTCATGGCTCTATACCCTTGGCTAACTTGCAAGCTTTAGCAGAAACCCAGTCCAAAGCAACTTGTCCTTGTTACTTTCCCTTCTCCAAGGCCTTCCTTTCTTATCTCTTTTCCTTCTTGCTGACCAACAGCTTTTTCATTGCATTTGCATTCAGGTAGGCTTTACTTTTAAGATAACATGAGTGTGAAAAGGGTGGGAAGATCCATGGTGTTTTCCTATTTAAAACCAGCTGCAGTCACTGCTAGCAGTCAGAGGCCTTTTTAAAATTTTCCTTATCTCATTAATTATTCTTTGAACAAGACATCCTCCCTACTTCATTCCTTCTGGCCTTATAACATTATTTTCAAGGCCTTTCTTTACAACACATATATTTCCTTAACCAAACTTCAGCTAACTCTAATTCTTTATCAGAGGGGTAGCCATGTTAGTCTGGATCTGTAAAAGCAGCAGAGTCCTGTGGCACCTTATAGACTAACAGATGTATTGGAGCATGAGCTTTCGTGGGTGAATTCCCACTTCATCGGATACACTTTGTCACGCATCCGACGAAGTGGGTATTCACCCACGAAAGCTCATGCTCCAATACATCTGTTAGTCTATAAGGTACCTCAGGACTCTTTGCCTCTAATTCTTTAGTTTTGTATTTATTCTACACCTTAGCTCCTGATATGTTCCATTTGGCAACAAGTAGGTAAGGAGCCTGTGGATTTCTCTCATTCAATCAGCCAAGATTTTGAAAACCACTGCCTTAAAATTAATATCTGTCAAGGTTCTTTATATCAAACTGAAAAGCACATCATCAACTACCACCCAGTATGTTTGCCCACTTCATAAAGAGCACAACTTGTGCTGTAAGTTCTCTTGTGCTGTAATGAATATTCCTGTGATGCCATTCCCTATCATGGGTCTTCTTAATATAAAGGCCTGGTAGCCAATATTCTCATACAACCTGCATTTTGACAAACTGCTGCTCTGAATTCTCTGGAGTCCATTGCAAAACAATGGTTTTGTTGCTTATGCCTTTTATGCCTCCTTTTCTTACAGTGTGCATAAAATTTTGTATGTACAAACTGTAAGCATCTCATCAGGAAGACATTTGTCACTAAGGAGGAACTTCCAAAGATGTTGCTGTACTACTCATGCTGCCCTTCTGAGTTAAAGTTTGCCTGGTACCCATGCTGTAATGAAAGAGACTGACCAGCTTGCAAGAGGTCGCAATACCATCCCAAGGCAAGGTTATCAACATAGGCAGTGAAGAGACCATATAAGACCGTCAGATGCTTTTGTAACAAGCTAGCCAGGAATGTCTAAACAGCTGAAGTTGGATGCCTAGGGTCATGAGGGTGTCATTACTAATCCACTTCCAAAAATAAAAAATAACTTGTTCAGTCACTGAAGCAGAGTCTGAAACACTGACAATTTCAGTTTAGCATTGTGTAAGGAGTTAAAAAACTTGGAAGAGGTAACACCAGCTTAACCTACTCTGAATTCTTCCATAGTGCTCCTATATAATGGTCTACCTATTCCGCACCAAACTACGTTTCTGGTGAAAGGTTGTTTGGGTCTTTTGCAAGCTGACACACACATTTTATTTAGTAGAGGCTTAAATCAGCACTGACATATTAGTGCTCCATGAAGTCCCATTGAAAAGTGCAATGATTTACTTTATATGACAGATTTACCCTGAGTCTTTACATCTATGAAGGTCAATCTATTCAAAGAGCCAGTGAAGCTTCATGGAAAAATCTGAAAAGCATTCCGTTTAGAGATAATGCTGCTGATAAATATTTCCTGTATTTCTTTCTCCCTGATTATTACTGGGACTATGTGCA